AAGGTGGTGCTGCCTCTGGAAGCATGTCTCTGGCAGAATTCTGCCCTAGTCCCTCGCAGTGGGCTCCAAGTTGATGATGCCCATAATTGTATCAAGTGGTGTCTGGGTAGGCAATCACAAGGCTAATAGCATTGGGCTTGCTAGTGGAGGTGAGCTGGGCAGGGTCCCAGAAGATGAGTTAGCAGAGGACAGTGGTATGGTGGTGCTTAGCATAGTCACCAAGCATGAGATGCTTGCTGTAATTGCAAAGCATGTAGAGGGCTAGGACACTGGCGTACTTCCAGCAGCAGAACAAAGCACCTTACAATAGTGCTCTGGCATAGAGTAAGCTTAAGAAAGGCGTAATTGAGCTCTGAAGCCCAACCCTAAAAGATAAAGGGTGAAGGTAACTTGTTATTTGCAGAGCATAAGTACAGTATATATAGTAAATTGTAAGCAAAGTCGCTATTGGCGACCAAAAGGTTGCCAAAGCGGCAAACTGAGTAAGTAAATAACAGCCAACAATTTTTTATATAGGAAAATGTCAATCAGACCTTGGTGACGCTTAGCAGCGCCAATCAAGCTGTCTGTTGTGTCAAAATGCCAAAAAGTAGGTATGAAATCACCAAAATGTCAGTGTCGTGAGATGATGGTAGTTATCAGGGTGCAGCGGCAAGGCCAGTGAAACTTTGGGATCAAGAAAGTAAGGTAAAATAAATCAAAAAATAATGATGAAAAATACGCTAAGTGTTTGTCCCAGGGTTCAAACCCTTGCCTTTTGGGAGGATGCCAGGTAAATCAGAGATTACGCTAACCACTAGTCTACACAGCTGTGCCAGTCAAAGCATCAGTATGCCTTTTGATACAACCTGGGTCTTATCAGCGCCTAGGCCTTGGACTTGCGCCAAGAGCAGGTTGGCACAAGCAATAAAGGAGGAGGTGGCTAGGAAAGCATCAGCAGTGAGAGTCAACATTGGAAGGGATGAAATTATCAAAGTACCAAATCAACCGCTAAACCTCTTATATGCCCAAACTTTGTGCATGGACCATTAGCGCACAGACCTTCAACATGTGATTGCTAGGAGTTGTCACAATCCGCTACTGACCCCAGAACTCAGGCCCAGCCCTGGAACTTCAACCCCCTCAAACGCACCCCCACAACTGCCCTGGGCCTGGACTGCTACCTGGCCAGACCACCTTGGCAACCTCCGGCCATCACCAGCCATCACCACCACCAGCCATTGCCACTCCCAGCATCTCCCTGGCCATCACCGCTGTGACCACCACATCAGTGCTGGCTCCAGCTATCACACTGCTCATAACCACCACATCAGCGCCGGCCCCAGCTATCCCTAGCACTTCCCCAACTGCAGCCGCCACATCAGCGCCAGCACCAGCAACACTCAGCGCTTCCCCAGCCTGTGCCAAGACCCCCATCACACATCATGATCATGCATCACTGCCAACCTGACCTCCACATACCACACCCCACTTCCACTCACCTCCTCACCGCCTTGCCGCTGCGTGTTTCTGCATTTCCAGTGCAAGACCTTCCACACCATGCGACATATCTCAACCTCCACCACCACCCCACGTGATCCCCAGGTCTCACCCTAAGCCCCAGCACCATGACTTGCCACTGTGACTCGGGCCTAAGCCCCAGGGCCTACTTACTGCACAGTATATAAGTCATAGAGTAGCAAGTAGTACTCTAGTCTTGATATTACTGTACCTCTCATATCGTTTCATCATGTTTTGCCTCTGTCTTGTAGTTTTGCATGTTTTGGTCTCTGTTTTTTGACTCTGCTTCATTTATTATTGTACTCATCTCATATCTTCTCCTATTCGTCATCTCTACTTGTCTTTTACTCTAATTCCATCCCTGCTTTACTCTTCTTCTCCTTGTTGACCTCTAAGTTCTCCTTGTCTCTTTTGTCTTCCACCTCAAGTCTTGACTTGTTCTGTTTCCACTTCCCTTTATTTTATCTCAACTCTTTCCTTTTTTGGCTTGCTTGATCTCCACTCTTCTCGCTTCCATCTCCAGGACTCGCCAAGTCCCTGCGCTCACCCAACTCTCTATTCATTAATCCCCAGGACTTGCTCACGCACTGGCACTTGCTTGTTCCATTCTCTCACCTCCCCAGGACTCGTGCCTATGCCCAGCACTCGTCCTCCACTCCTCACTGGCACTCACCCTCCATCCTAGCATTACCAGTGACTCCTCGCTCATGGCCCCAGCCCCACTTCAGTCTCCTACACCTTGTGCTCTTGCCAGTACTCTGTGTTTGTAGACACAATGCTCACCACATAAGGTACTCGCTCAGTGGACTGAGCCCCTGTGGTTAGCGGAACCTGACAGGACAGGAGTTGACTGAGAACAGTCAATTTTTCAGTTGGGGAGAGATGATAAGACCCAGGTTGTATCAAAAGGTGTACTGATGTATTGTCTGGCACAAGCATGTGGACTAGTAGTTAGTGCACCCTATAGTTTACCTGGTGCCCTTCCAAAGGGCCAGGGTTCAAATCCCTGGATAAACACTTATTGTATTTTTCATTATTATTTTCAACTGATTTTACCTTACTTTCTTGACTCCAAGGTTTCACCGACCTTGCCGCTGCACCCTGGTAACCACCATCATTTTACAATGCTGACATTTTGGTGATTTCATACCTATCTTTTGGCATCTTGACATGACAAACAGCTTGATTGGTGCTGCTAGGCGTCGCCAAGGTCTGATTGACATTTTCCTATATAAAAGATTGTTGGCTGTTATTTACTTACCTAGTTTGCCACTTTGGCAACCTTTTGGTGTGACTTCACTTACAATTTACTATATATACTGTACTTATACTCTGCAAATAACAAGTTACCTTCACCCTCTATCTCTTACACCTAGGCTTCAGAGCTCAATTTTGTCTCTCTTGAAGTTTACTCTATGCCAGAGCGCCATTGTACAGTGCTTTGTTTCACCGCTGGAAGTTCACCAGTGTTCCAGTTCTCTATATGCCTTGCAACTATGGCAGGCATCTAGTGCTTGGCATCTATGCTAAGCATCATCTTACCGCTCACTTACCGCTGTCTTCCACTAACTTGTCTTCTGGGACCCTGCCTGGCTCACCTCCACTAGCAAGCCCAATGCTATTTGCCTTGTGATTGCCTACCCAGACACCGCTTGGTACAATTTTGGGCATTATCAGCGTCTGTGGACACCATGCGCACCATGTAAGGAATTTGCCCAGTGGACTGAGCCCCTGTGGTCAGCAGAACCTGACACTTGTCTCTCACTTCTCCTGTGCATTTCAGCCTTTGCCCTTGCACTCAATATTTTGGATGTGACTGGTGCTCTCGCTTACAATCCTCTTGCTTCTCTGGCTCTGCTTCTTGGTCTTCCATGCCCCACACTCATAGACAGTACTGACCATGCATGTGGTACATCATGTTTACTCAGTAAGGAATCATCCAGTGGTTTGAGCCTCTGTGGTCAGCAGAACCTGACAGAAGCCTGTCCAGCCTTCATGTATGACAGTACCAAGGCTATTTTCAGTGCATCAGAGTTGAAGGCATCTCTGCTGAGGTTGATACAAGTGAGGCAGGACTGAGGAAAGCACTTCTCAAAGACACAGTCACTATTATACATGTTCAGGAGTGCCAAATGTGGAATCTGTGCACAAGGACCAGCTGAGAGTTTTAAAGCTACTAGAATGACTAGCAAAGCTGCTAAAGGTGGTTTTGCAGCTGAGAGTGCTGCAGTGATGGAGAGTAGGTGCTCTAGCAGCGTTTGGAGGGATTGAAAGATGTGATTGATGGTTTAATGGAGAGTAGAGAGTTTGATGGTGTGATGGGTAAGGGAAGCTTAAGTGAGTTGCACCTGCATCTTTAAGTGTACTAAGCAAGTCCAGGCCTCATCTTGGGGGGCCAGAGCATTTAAAGGAGTGTCTGAATTGGCAGCTGAGACATAGAGCTCTGAAGGTGCTTAAGTCTGGGGGAGAAGCAACAAATAGAGACCAGAAAAGTTCAGGCAGGCTATGAGGGGTTTCCATACCAGAGTTAGAAGACTTGTTCTGCTATAAGGACAACCTCTGGAAGTTGTAGCTTAAGTCACACAACTGGCAGAGGAGAATACAAAGGTATATTAAGAACAATAATCAATAATACAATAGTAATTAATCACTTAGCAGAGGGGAACAAGTCTAAGGATTCCTGCTGCCTGATGTGGCACATCAGCAAGCAGTGGAGGCATGAAAACAATTGTACAGTATGACTGGAGCTAACCTTCATATTGAACAATGCTTGCACAAGAAGTACAGGATGTTCTGGAGGTTGCCCAAAAAGGAAATGACCTCCAAAAATCTCCAGAGGTCTCTAGAGATCTAGAGCAAGCTCTGTGGGCTTCAGTGAAAGGCTGTTGGTAACAGCCTCACTAGACCAGTACAGACAAGACAAAAATATCTTTGTTGCTTGTAGTAAGGATGTGATAGAAGAAGGTCATTATTCTAAATACTCACCTTTGTTGCTCATAGTAAGGATAAGAGTAACAAAGGTGAAACAAAAAACTTTTTGGAGCAGCAGTCACATAGTTGTGCTGCACTGATGTGGTGCAATTGAGATTGTGTTGTCTGACTTGTTATGAGTTTGTCTCAGGCAAACTTACACTCTGTAAGTGGTGCAAGGGGGCAGATTGAAGTGTAGAGGGGTGGAGCAAATAGAAGTTGGTGTAGACCAAAATGGAAGTCCCCTGACAGTGGGTCATGATAAGCACAAACTGCTACTCTTGCTGTGCTAGCACTGCAGAAAGCCAGGGCACTTTGCTTAACACTGCTTACTGGGCATGGAAGTGCACTACCTCTCAGCAGCAAAGCCTAATATGCCACACCAAGCAATGGAGATTCTTAGACTTGTTCTCTTTGGATTTCCCTCTGCCAGATAATTAGTTACCACTGTACTGTTGTTACTGTCTCTAATATAACTTTGGATTTCCATCTGCCAGTTGCATGATTGTGCTGCAACCCCTGGAGGTTGCCCTTACAGTAGAAAAAGTCCTCTGAACTCTGGTCTGGAAGCCCCTGTAGCCTGCCTGCATTTGCATGGCCTCTTGACCATGTCACCCAACTGACAATAATGTACTATCCATCTCAGTCTTCCCAGAGCCAGTTTTCACTGAGCTTTGAATACAAAATAGCCCAGCTTTGAACGTCCCTATTTGTGTAAAAATACATTTTACAAGCTACATAAGAGGATATTGAACAGTAGTGTTGTTGATATAGTATATCGTACTTTCATTGCATGGAAAAATGTCGATAAAATTGAAATTGAAAGGGAACACATCACCTCAACAAGGTGTCGGAATATAAACGGGTTGGAATATACATCCCTGTTCTCGATAATCATCGCCAATGATTATTTTTTTTGTCCAAGAATCGATGAGAGGAGAAGAACTAATATTTCCAATTGATACATGTGGAATGACAGGTGTTGAAGGTTCACTCGAAGAGAGCGGAGAAACGTTGGGAGACGAAGAACTCCTCCGTAACGATACATCTGAACCACTCAACCATGAACGCGAGATGGCAGGTGATGATGGGTTCCGTAAGGCAGGACTTGTAGTACAATGGAATGCTGAAGGCATGCTTTTAGATATGCACTTTGCAGGGCGGCCAATATTTCGGCCAGTGTTCTTCTCACCCGGATAGGGAGAGTCCCTTGCTTGTAAAGGACCGGAAGCAGAAAAGATAGTGAATGGGAGAGGAGGGGAAGAAGGTTCTGGCATGGGGTCCAAAAAGCGGACTTGGACAAGGGCAGGATGAGGAGCAGAAGGTAGAACAGTAGACCTGAAAGCACACCAAGGGCCATTTTCTTTTGAGAGGGCCCCCGGAGATACAGGCGCTCTCAGATGAAGTTTTCGATTGAAGTCAAGGATAAACTCTGCCATGTTCACCAAGCTTTCAATGTTAGGCCGTCGAGATGCAGGTTTTCGAGGCCACACTGGAGGAGAGAATTTGTATACTTCCGAGCTGGCAGCCCAAATATCTGACGAAGGGCGGTATACTGAAGGGAATGCATGATCAGGTCGGGTCGGATTCAGGACATCAGGAAGTAAAGTTTTTGACTTCAACGTCTAGAGAGAATTTGAGTATGTGCATAATCAAAGTAGTCTTAGGTGACAAACGATTTCATTTTCAGCACGTGTGTCTTTCATACTAGGGTGAGGTTTGTCGGAGGTTGGGAAGGATCTCTTCGCATGTTTCCTTCTGTGTTCCGGAATCGCCAGGAAGGACTTTGGGTGTTCCAACGATTTCAATGGAATTTCTTGAGGAAGTGTATTTTCGGACAATCTGCGAAGTTTCCTTCCTTCTCTTCTGGCTCGATTACGATGATTCTGAAACTATTTGAGAAGGTCGAGGTCAATACATGCGCAGTAACGATGTGACGTGACCATACCCAAACTTCTATTTGTCGTGCAGTCATTCCAGATTTTCTGGCCAACATCATCTTGTCGGGCGCAGAAGGGTATGCGTTGAATTCAAAATACTTATCCAAAAGCACCGTATATTCCTGCAAAAACGTTGAATAAGCCTTCGACTTAGATGTTAAAGAACAAACGTGTTTGAATTTAGGTTTTTTCCCTTTGTCGGCTTTAGCAGGCGATAATGTGCACTTCATGGCTGCGTCATGGATACGGTTAAGGACATCTTCTGCCCACGCTTGGGCCTGCCGTTCATGTGCAGCGGTCCAGTCATCGTTCGATCCTTCAGTGCTAAAAGACGTGTCTCGAGGCAGCTGGAGCCTATCGCAAGTGTCGTGAACATCCTTGGCGGCATTGATACATGCCATGAGTTGAGGAATTATACTGGAACCAAGAGACAACGTCGCCATTGGGGTATGGTCCGAGTAAGGAAGGGAATATGGAAGCTGCATGCGTTGCGCAACATCATTGAAAAGCTGGTGGAGTCGCTGGTACTGGTGCATCGTATGAGAATCAATATCTATGAAAGCAGAGGCGCTTCAACGCTCTTCAGGTTTCTGGACATTGATTGCTGACATAAGCACAATGGGGTTTCGTGACAGATATTGTGAGGAGTCGGAATGATTCATCCTTCATCACACTTACCACGCCATGGATAACGACCTTGACGCTCGTTGTCTAAGGCATATATCCTCCTTTGAAGAGGAGCTCTTGAAGCCCTTCGTTGATCGAGCATCACTTGAGCTTTTCAATCGTCGTTGGAACGCCCTCAACGATGACCTTCAAGCTGCCCTAGAAGCAGATGTTCTGAAGCCTTCCACAATAACCAGAGCTCACGCTCTGGCTGATCGAGTGGCGAGACTAATGCAGACGTTCATGGACATAGATGCTTTGGCCGAAAGACTCATGTCATCTCTGCTTGGCGAGATAGCTTCCTCTCCTCCCCTGGTCCATCCTACACTCGCACTGGAGACGACTTTACCCCCGTATATCAAACCTTCTCATCAATGGCTTTTGGAAAATATTCATAATCCATATCCCTCTATCACAGTTCGAAATGCCATCGCTCAGGAG